AAACAATCAAAAGACAAAAGAAAAGGTTAGTTGAAAGTAAAGTGTTCATTAATCCCGTTTGGACTAAATAACCAAGAATGAATTAACTTAATTTGGATTAACTTATTAACTTATTAACCRATGCGTACGCTTACGTAAGCGGTCACGAGGCAGGTATAGGATACAGTAGTTCGTTACATACGATTGGACCGTTGGTGACAGCAGTATTTTTGGCGTATCAAGCCAGCACATAACAGARCAGACAAGTAACAGTTTAAACAGTTTCTAACAGCTAAAAAAACACCAATATAACGGAGTCTAACGGCTAAAAAACCACCAATTTTTGTCCTAGYGCCCTTGATTGAATGACTGAATTTAAAGTTAAAGTCTTAATTATGTTCACCAATAATACCACTGGTTATATGACTTCGTGTGTGATTTAATAAACAAATGTGAAAACTAAACATGTTTGACCAAAGCTAGTTACGTTGTTATCCAATTATTTTGCAACTGCTTGGGTAAAAATCTTGGCAATGTACTTATTGAATGATAAGTAATGTTGAAGTTAAGTAACTGAATGGTATTCGTAATATGTTCATTRCACACATTGCATTAAATCAATTTTGAGTCACACTAAATGAAAGACGTACGTACATGTAGGAAGTCTTACTTTTTTAAAGTGTACAAACTTTAWACAACAATGCTAATTCAAAAGCCAATTTTGAAGTGAAATCAACATTTAGTTGAGGCCAGGTTTTACTGTAAATCAAGGGAGTTTATAAATGGAAAGTCTGAGAAGATTATTTTTACSACGATCGGCATCTGGCACAGGTTTTCAAGCTATCAAGTGCTCCTCTCTGAGCCATGTCTAAGCATGCACTGACMATGCTCTGAAAAATCTTATGACAAACACAAATCGAGATATTTGCTGGCCTCTACTACACAGAGATCCCAACATACAGTAACAGAATGGGGACCATCAAGATAAGTAATGCTGCTTGCCTATGGCTTCACAGCAATYACATAAATTAAGCTTATTTTTGTGATGCTGAGGGATATGTTCTCGTAAGACCTTATTTTCACTCCATTTTAATTTAAGAAACTAAAAGAAAYATTCAAAAACTAATAAGAAGGCCATATTTATGGACAAAAACATTTAATTTTGCATTTAATTTTAATTTAACTGAATGTAAACTTTATTTTTCAAAAACTTTTGATCAATGCATTAGGTAACAATAAACACAACACAATGGTGGTGATGGTGATGGTGATGGTAATGGTGGTGGTGATGGTTGTGATGATGATATGGATGACAGTGATAGTGGTGATGATGATGATGATGGTAGTGAAGTGGTGTAGATTAAGGACTGGGGTAATGATGATGATGATGGCGAAGCAGTTGAGATGAAGGTGGTGAAGTGATTGTGATGATGATGATGATGAAGATGGTGAAGCTGTTGTGATGATGATGATGATGATGATGGTGAAGTGGTTGTGATGATGATGATGGTGATGGTGAAGTGGTTGTGATGATGATGATGATGGTGGTGATGATGATGATGATGGTGAAGCGGTTGTGATGATGATAATGATAAGAAGGTGATGAGGATGATAAGTCAGATGATGGTGGTGATGATGATGGTGAAGTGGTTGTGYATGACGATAATGATGATGATGAAGATTGTGATAATTATAACAGAGATGATGATGGTGGCAAGGGTGATGATAGATTTTATTCATGGTATCAAATGACAGTCACAACTAAGTATTGACATCTATATGACCCTTTAATGTTCTAAGTGAAATGGGACAGCCATGGTTTATATACTGTAGTCATATACTGTATACTATAGTTATATACTGTATATGTGAGATCTGAGCCATAAATAACAAAATATCTAGTAAACATTTGCAGATAGTTTAAGATCTTGAGTGTTATGGTCCAGCAGGGTTGTGAATGGTTCATTTGSTGTCATTAATTTATACAGATTATTTACATACCAGTGTCCTTCCATTCACCCCAGTCAGTGCTCACTTCTACAGAAAGGTCTCCTATATCAGCCCCATACATGCTCCAATAAAAACTGAGGTGACATCTACTGGGCCCTGGTATAGGAGGACTGTCCAATGAACCTGAAACATTACATTAAATGTCTATTACTTGTATTGCACACATTTCCCATGCACTTGTATGATCAAATGTGCAAATTTCTACGACAACATACCATATAGTACATTGATTTTAGCTGGGATATCAAAACAACAACAACAACAACAACAACAACAACAACAACAACAAGATATTCATCTAACTCACTGCAGATAGAATTGGAATTTAGCTGGCTAGGTTTTATGAACCGAAACAGGAAAATAGGGGAACCTGGAGAAAAGCCTTCAAATCAAGAGGAAACCTGACAAACTCTACTCACATGAGATGTGTGATGATTACAGGAGTTTAATCAAAGACCCCAGGGGGGAGAGGCAAGTGTACTACCACTGTCCAGCACACCACCCTTGATTCCCAAATAATAAGGTACCTAGACTAGATCCCATTTATCACAGTTCCTATCCACCTTTATGTGGTACTAACCACTTATTTATTGATATTGGTAGTCATCACTTGAATTTCTTGATTAGTAATTAGCATTAAAAACAGTGGTTATAACTTYATCACACTAGTGTTTGCTAATTACTTACCTTTTCCAGCTGGTACTACTCCATCAGAGTTGGTGTATACATAATATGATCCTCGTGGATATCCCCACATTGGGCCACTACTCGGTTTATTTGTAGCTCCATTTGTTCTTTTCCAGCTCATCTGTATTTTCGTTAATGAAGTTGCCTTCCATCCACACATGCCTTGTTCAAAGTCACAAGATCCTTCAGGTATAAGTTTCTTGGAAGCCACTTGACAACCTAAAAGATAGGTCAAAATTAAAGCTGCTATCAGTTACTATCAAAACTTTAGCCTCTGTCACTCAGTAAATACTGGTTATGTTAGAACTATCATTTTCATGAGAAAACTACTGTATTTTCATAACTAGATTGTGCACTACATACTTAATACTAGTTACACAATGCTTTTGAGTGGCAGTACCATGGACTATCCCATGCATCACTCTTTTGTGTGTGTGTRTGTACAAACAAACCTTTACAATAACTACAGATAATTACCAATATGATGATAATGATGATAATGATAAGGATGATGCTTTATATAGCGCCCTTTCTATATGGGCATAATTAAATGGCACTTTACATTGAGTTTTGAATGACAGATTKCTTTTATGCAACTTACAAGCACGAGAGATGGTTAGTATGAAGTCTAGGACAACTTTGTGCATTTGAATGTTGTGTCCTTAAGTTAYGAARGTTTATACTTCCATTATGAGTGTGATGTCACCCCAGGCTTTTGAGTGTATTTGTTTTAATTTTTAATACTAAACACTAGTCATTATGAGACATCAATTTAACTATAAACATCAATTGTGTAAACCTTAAACATAATGATGATGCATTTTAAAATATGCTTGAGTRAACAAGTCAAAATTTATATATTATCTAATGAAGCCTGGGGATGTCACAGTCAGTAACATAATGCAAGTATAAACTTTAATAACTTAAAGATGCAACATTCAAAATAATGAARAAATATTTCACCATTCAACTACTCACTTTATGTAGAATCGATACCAAAAGTGTTGTATCAGGGGTTACAGTAGGTACATTTTAAAGGTACATGTATCGATTGTTTTTGTTCAATCTAAGGGAATATACTGAAGAAATAGAAAATGTGTGTGCATGCTGTGTGCAGTTATGAAGCATGTGGGGGCTGGCAGAACACGAGAGAAGTGTTAGGAGAAGCAGGACACAGCGGAGTGCTTCTCAACACTTCTTGAGTGTTCTGCCAATCCCCATGTGCTTTATWACTCCACACAGCACAGCAAGCAAGTTTTTATTTCTCTTCATAAGATACAAATTTCAACAACAGTTATTTAGAATAGGAATGACACAACTGAAAGTGAGCATGTGTGCTGTATGCTCTCATAAAGCACAATGCTTCCATCCAATCAGAATGTGAGATTTATAACAGTTATTTTGATCTACATGTACTTCTGAGGCAAAAAAGAAAGAAAAGGTCTAATTAGCAAATATTTTCTTTCAGTAAATAATAATAATAATAATTGAAATTAAAATTAATTAAATTAATTAATAGATTATAATTTAATGAATATTTTTAATCTCTGAACTAAAGACAGACTGACTAAGAATTACAAATTACTGTCTGTTTTTTGAATGTCCCTAGTACTATGTTAATCAAAAATCCTTCACTTGTGCTATGCCATATCAATTGAAACTACAGAAATAATATTTTCACACACATCTCAAACTGAAAGTGTAATCATTTCTAATAGAATAGTTAGTTTTGACAAAACAAAAAATACAACAAAGAAACAATAGAAGAAGTAGCAAGTAATATTCGATTCAGAACCGTGACCTTGGCTTTAATTGATTCTATTAATTAATGCTAATCACTAAACAGGAGCACTCTCTTAGTGTTWAAGTCACTCAAAAAGAAAGCTTCAATATCTTCCTACATAGACCCTAATATGTTTTTATGACAAATTGCACTGTGTTGTATATGGTCTATCACTAGTAAAATAACAATATACAAAATCAATATATCCATTACAGGTGCTACTGGTGGTTTAAATGTATTATTCATAAGTTACAGGTGAATCAAAAACATATTCTAATAAGGGTTATTGTAAGATTAAATTGAAATGGTTTTAGGGCAATTAAAATTCACAAAGTAGTTCCAATATCAATCAAAACTGCAGCTTAAGCTTCAAAGAACACAACTTAATGTACCTAACTATAGCCTGGGGGAAAGCTATATGGTTTTTGAATTTTTTGAAAGTGAGAGTAAGATTTTCATTTTATCATAGGCTATCAAAATATTATGTAATTTCAATTGAATCAATATTAAAATAATGAAATAAAATGTGCTCTCACAGGTTCAAATTCAATAAAGAAAGAAGTAAAAAAAGCAACTGGCAGAATCACTTGTGTKAGATAATGCTCCTAGCACTCTACATGTATCTTACTTATTAAATACTCTCAAGAAAATATTAGTTGCTAGGTAAATCTCCTAGTTACCGCATGCTAATGGCAATTTTTTTTTCCAAATTAAAGATAAAAAACAAGTTTGACAGCATTCCCACTTTTTAGACAAATGATAATCACTAAATATTACTTTAGAGATAATTTAAAGAACTTTACCTGTGCTGTGACGTTGTTTTTGACCTTGATTACATATGCTTGAACACTTAGACCATGAGGATGTTAGCCAGAAGTATGCCTCATGGTTGGTCTGTATACAAGTATTATTAGTGAATGCAGTTTCAACTGTTGGTACACACTTGCTGCCATATACCAGTACTCTAACTTGTACTTCGATTGCCCCTTCTTGGAGAAATCTATTGTCACCCCATCCTTTATTTATCAGTAATGCATAACCCTTTTTGGAGTTATCATTTTGACTTGGTGCCCAAAGACGGACATAATTATTATTATATGCAAATGTTATGCCTCCATAACCATTATTACTGTTGTCGTCTGATTGTACTGATCCTTGCCCTTCAAACGTAAAGAGGTTATTCATCCCCCTAAGGGCTTGGGCTTGGACTATCACAAATTCTGGTAATCTGTTCAAATTGTGATGAATTTCTTTAAATGAACTAGACCCTCTCTGAGCCTTGAAATTAAACCAGTCTGTTTGAAATGAGGGTACTGGAAGCATATTGACCCAAATCTTGACATGGATGCGACATCTTGTCTCTCGCTGACTGTATGCTCCACCGCCCCACCCCCTGTCAATCAAAATACACCCAGTATTCTTAATACCAATGTCTGGTGTCCACAGACGTATAATTCGTTCATTATAAGCAAATATGACCCCTCCATAGCTGTCATTAGGATTCGAATTTTGTGAGAAGCTGACAGCATGAAACCAATACCCTCCATTAGGATTGTCTTYACTGTTGACAGTATTTTCAGGCGATACTCGGACCAACACTCTGTCAGGAATTTGGCGTAATTGATGATCCACTTCTCCAAAGCTTCCCTTCTTCGTACCATTCCCTATAACCGTATCAATCTGAAAATTTGGGTCGGGACCAGAGGCCCAGATTTCAACCACGACTAATGCTTCGTCTGATTGTTGAGAATATAGTCCCCCTCCCCAGCCATCCTTGATAAAAATAATATGTCCAYTAGGCTGACTAGGAGCCCATACGCGAATGTACTCTGAATTATAAGCGTAGATAAGTCCTCCATATGAAGTGTGACTTGAGTCAACTTGGTTAACCCCGATTCCATTAAAACAAAAGCCCTGATTTGCTCCTGTTTTTGGTTGTGCATAAACACGCACGTAAAAAGGTTCTTTTCCTAAGCCATGGTGAATCTCTTTGAATGACTTCAAACCTTGTTGAGAGCGTAACGTGAAGCTTGTGTTAAAGTCTGGTTTAGGAAAAGCTGCTAGCCTATTTAGGCAATTATTATTAGGAGACGATAAGATTTTCACCGGAACCAAAATCTTAAGTATAAAAACAAATGCGACACCACGAATGGCATTCATAAAGACCAAATGGAAAGAAGTACATCGACTGGAGGCCAGTTCTTGTAGAACATTTGGGATTCGTGTGAAGGACCAATGAAAATTTGAACCAGAGTGCCAATACTAACACGTTATTTGCACGAGGCTACTTAAATCCTTTGGACTCACTCGTTGTTTTTGCTGAATATTCAATTATTTTTCAATTCAAAGATTCGCTTAGGGACCTAGCTGTCACTTGTCAACGCTCGGATTTCCTTCGGTAAGATCTCGTGAGTGAAACGCGAACCCGACGCTGACTTCGTGTTACCTCGAGTTCATTCGTTTCGTTTATCGACACTAAAACGATCATTCATCGACTGATTAATCGGCGTTGGAAGAACGAAAAAATATGTGGTGTTTACGAAAAATATTAKCAGAAAACTCGTGAATTTATTGTCCAAGGCAACGAAAGACATTGCTGAAAGCTTACGGGATTGTTTTACTTGAGCTTATTACTTTTTTAGGGATGACAAATAGCTAAAATAACCGCAACATTTTGGGTTTTAGTTCGAACAATTCCAGTGTAGGTTTTCCTTGACATGGACTTAATAGTAAGCTTGATAAGATTAGTTTTCTAAGTTTTTTTCATTGAATTTTGGAAATCGTTCTCGTGTAAGCATGAGTGGAGGACTAGCCCCAAGTAAATCAACGATATATGTAGGCAATTTGCCGTATTCCCTCACAAACAGTGACCTGTACAAGGTAAATAATATTACATTCTGCGACATGCAGCTGTGTAAATACCTAACACATTTATACCAGATTTATTTATTTTTAATAAGTTTGTTTGCTTGATATTAAACCAATATCATTTYATTTCCAGGTGTTTAGTAGATATGGCAAGGTTGTCAGGTGAGCATTCTAGCAGTTTAGACAAGCTTTTAAAAAGGTTTGCCTTTGTAGATACATGTACGCCTGACAAATGAAGCGATAAGGACATCAAGTACCTCAAGGGTAGAGAGGGTTATAGAGACCCTTTATATAAGCCTTCTTTGGAGGCACAAAAGCTGTGTTGACTATCCTATTACATCATGCAATGTRATGTTTGGGATGTTTCTATTTTTATGAAGGGTCATTTAATGTATTGCTGCTGCACATCAGAGGTTTAGACTTTGTAGGGAGATGTAATATGGCATGTTATTATATAATTACCAATGAAATATCTATTTTTCTCCATTTCGAAAAATTGATATCTTCACATGTGAAAATAACACCATTGCGATGGCTATTCAAAAATACACGGAAAGAATTGCCTGAAAAAACCAAAACATACTTTCATTGATAATTTATATATAATAAACAGAATATTACATGGGCGCTTGGAGATACGAAATTTATCTTCTTGTGTTGAAAATCTCTCACTCGTTCGCTGCGCTCACTTGTGAGAGATCTTTTCAACACTCGAAGATAAATTTCGTATCTCCGCGCGTCCATGTAATATCCTCTATATCATAAACTACTGTTGGTTTGAAATCATTTCCAAGAGAGTAAAATAACAAAAGCAATGGCTGCCATGATGGCAAATATAACAAAAGAATACATTGATGAATTTATGAGTGAATGCATGAATGAATAAATGAATAAAGGGAGAAAGGAAGGAAGGAGATCAGTGATTCTTGTTGATCTCAAATATAATCTATTAATCTCTTTTAATATCTATTATTGTCAGAGTTACCATCTTAAAGGATAAAGAATCAAGAGAAAGCAAAGGTGTTGCATTCATTTTATTTCTTGACAAGCAGACTGCACAAGCTGCTGTCTCATCTGTCAATAACAAGCAGGTAAAAATAGGGATTAATTTCTTAAAATGTATAGAAGGTATGACATGAAAAGTTGACGAATAAGGCTGGAAACCTTTAGGGAGTCATATCATATTTTGATGAAGCCATATAATGATTCAGAATGCAAGCAGATAAGCAATATGCACATCAATTGTATTACATATTATTTTTTATCATATAATTATCCATATTATAGTACACTCAACAAAATTACTCGACTCTGATAGGTCGGGAGGAGTACAATTATAGCGTTAATTGTACTCCRTAGGAGTACCGAATTAAGTCGCTATGGCAACACGGCCAAAACAATGTCAAAACRATTATTTTCTATCATTTTGTACTTWAAAAACATAAATAGAATTTTAAAGCCGTAAGAACTAATCTTTTTTATGCATTTCAGTTGTGCGATGGACTGAATAGACAAAGATGAACAGCGTCGCTTCGCATTTTTTACTGAAATTTTGTTGAGTGAACTATAAACAAAAAATCGCACAATCTTCTCGTACAATTTGGAATTAATAGACTCTCGTAGTGTTTTGAAAGTTCTTTAATTGCACTCGCCTAAAGGCTCGTGCAATTACAAGAACTTTCAAAACAATTACTCGTGTCTATTAAATTCCAAATTGTACTCGAGATTGTGCGATTTCCTATACAAATACCTATATTTCTCCTTTTCGAAAAACTGATATTTTCACATGTGAAAATATCGTTACCATGTGTATAATTTAAGCTATTAGTTTATATTAAATAAAAACTTTTTATAATAATAAAAAGCTTATTAAGCTGATTTCATGGATAATTATATAATAAACAGAATATTACATGGGCGCTTGGAGATACGAAATTTATCTTCTTGTGTTGAAAATCTCTCACTCGTTCRCTGAGCTCACTCATGAGAGATCTTTTCAACACTCGAAAATAAATTTCGTATCTCCGCGCGCCCATGTAATATCCTCTATTTATGTAATAGGAATGAAGCTGGTGTAGCAGTAGAGCATTCGCTTTTTACCTCTGGGGTTTTGGGTTCAATATTCCTTGGGCTTGGTATCACATGTGACTTGAGTTTGTTATGTCTCTCCACTGATTCAAAGGTTTTCCTCCAGGTTCTATGGTTTATAGCCATATATTGACTTTGATCAGCCTAGAGGTTTTTTCAGGGTATTGATAAAATTTGAAGGTTTTTTAATAAGGTGACAAGGTTTACAAGGTTTTTTATTTCCATTTACAATATAAATTACTGTAATACATAAAAATTAAACATAAGGCGGGGTAAATTATTATGTTGGTAGAGTGCAGGAATACAGCCCAMAGGGTTAATGAAGAAGCTTCCTGCACCCTAGTATTATTAGGGAAAAATATGGTTGAAAGTAGTGGAAAAGAGAATTACAAAATGTGAACAAATATAGTTTGAAAATTTCTTTATAAGCTAAATATAAATGTTGTACAAATGCTTTTTTCTTAAAAACTTACCAAATTTGCTCTATTAAGCCCCCAGCCTTTAATYATAGCCCCCTTCTAATAAGTCCCCAGTCTGAGGCACTGAAAAAAAAATTAGCCCCAGCCTCTAATATTATAAGCCTCCACAACAAAGGGCTGTTTTGGTTCTTTTCCCTTTGCAGGGCTTTCAAAGTCATTTCATCTGATGAGATTACGAAAAAAATACATGTAATTATGAATTCCCAAAGATCAGGAAAATTTATTAAGTATCCAACCTCTAATAAGCCCTCACTTCTAATAAGCCCCTAAGTCCAAAAGCACTGAAAATGAATAAGCCCCCAGGAGGCTTAATAGAGGAACTATGGTATTTTATTGSAATGATTGGCCTAACGTTGCTTCAGGAAATCCACAACTATCGTTATAACTGCAGTTGTCCCAATTTTAACAATGTTTAGCCAAGAATACTTTAATTAAACAGACCTTTATGAGAATCTGGGGATACTTTAAGAGGGTGAATGAAAATTAATGATATATGATGATGTTGGGTATCAGTACATATRTTTAGAGTTTCATTTAAAAGCTTTCTGTTTTCCATTTATTGACAAAAATCATGTCAGACCTATAATCAGATATTTTATAACCAAAAAACTTGATAACTTTTATTTTCTTGGATCAGATGTTTGGTCGTACAATTAAATGCTGCATAGCAAAAGATAATGGGAGGGCCTCAGAGTTTATCAGACGCCGAGAATACCCTGATAAATCACGATGTTATGAATGTGGGGTAAGTGTCTTTCACCAGCTAGCTTCCTAACACTGTTTGACTATTTCTTGGGAAACTACTTTAAATCAACTTCCCAAAAATTCACTCTGACAAATTCATTTGACTGAAACATTTTACTCACGASAATTGACAATAATTTTATCTTTTTATCCTCTGTGATGAGCTCCTTTGGAAATAGCTGCGAGGGGTTGTACTTTAAAAAGTATTTCTCAACATTGATGCAGACTCATAAAATCTTTCTGGACCATTTGCATTCACATGGTTTCCAAATTATGAAAGTAGAATTGCATATAGCAGAGCTATGTTATAAACCAAGTTGGTCTGGTTAAATGATGTCTATTATATAACAGAATGAAAAAGGAATTTTGAAGTTTTTGATTCATAATTTTGATTCCCCCAAGAATACTTTTATTGTTGACACTTCCTTTCATTCATTCATTACTTTCTATTTTATCTTCCTAAARACCTTAAAAGTAGAAGACACATGTTCTAACATCGAAAAACATTTTTAATAGGAATGTGGTCACTTGAGTTATGAATGTCCTAAGAATGTCCTGGGAGAAAGAGAAAGGCCTCCCAAGAAAAACAAGAAAAAGAAAAGGAAACTAGAAGAGTAAGTAGAAAAATATTTTCCTTATTTTTTAATAAATTTTTGGTTGGATTTCATATTTTCTAAAATTGGAAACATTTTCATTTATAGCATTGCAATTAAGTTTTTTTACAGGTTTTTTAAATGAATTTTAAAAGAATTGTAGATAATATTTGTAGTCACTTGAGCCTTTTTTAGGCTAAACAATTTTTAATGTAAAAATAAATAGCTTGACACAGATGTTTGGTGTAACTGCTGAGGTGGCAAAGGGATAAGATGGTTAGGTTAGCCCTCTGACGTGTAAGGGGCATTCATTTCAAAATACAAAAATTAACAGACAGAGAAAAACTCAAAATGATTTTGAAAAAGAAAGGGTGCAAAACCGATTTTAAAATTTCTTAAGATATTGTAATTAAAAATGAATATATTTATTTATTATGAGTTTTACTGCAACCCACAAACACTTATTTGATTCAATTTTATCAAAGCTTTGGATTTTTTTAAGATGATAAAGGCAATCTTAGTAATTAACACTCAATCTGTTGCACTAAAAAAAATTGTTGAAAATTTGTTGCAATATTTTTTAGCTTTCTAGTGGGTTTATACATGTAATCACATCCCTTCTTTCTTCCTTCCCTTTGATTTGCTGACAAAGAAATGAAGAAAAGATTCTCATATCAACTGAACAAGTATCTGAGATCACTTTCCTGACCTTTTTTTATTAAAAAAAACAACAACAACAAATATTTTAAGGTGTACAGTAAATGTTTACATTTTTAGATGCTTCCGTAGCATTTATCAGTTGCAGATCCAAGGGCAATTCTGTGGATTCCATCTTATGAAGCCAATCATCTTTATGTTCAGTTGAATTAAATTAGAAAAAATAGATTTTTGTAGGATTTTTTGGTTTACTTTATGTAAACAATTCATTTCTTTGTCTTTTTGTTGAAAATATCTATGTGGTATTGTAAAATGATTCACTAGCCAGTATTTGTGCAATATTGAGTATGCAAAGAACTGTCATAATGATCTTATGTTTTTTCTCATCACTTCCGGTGGAGGAAGTTTTGCTTAAAAAACTTGATGGACATGGTATACATCCTTTAATACTGATTATCTTGAAAACAAGCTCGGGACACCACATTTTGTTTTTATACAGTTGACTCTCTTTGAACGACCACTCTCGTAAGCGACCACCTCCCGTAAGCGACCACCTCCCGTAAGAGACCACCTTTTAAATTTCCCGTCCCCCCCCCCCGCATGTAAACTCTGTAAAAAAAAACTCTCTCCTAAGTGAAACACTCTCGTAAAAGGCCGTGACCACCTTTGGGGTTAAAATTTTTGGATTTTTTATTGTTTTTCCTCTCCCGTAAGCGACCACCCAAGGGCCAGTCAATAACAGATCCTTTAATAATAAAAAATTAGAGTCATCGGGTCATTAAAAACCCAACGAAATATTGACAATTACAGTACTGTAAACATATAGCACATCCAAAGTTTTGACTAAAACAGTTTAATYGTTAATGCATTAGTTTTAACACGTGAGTTGCAACTTATAAATGGTTTAGGGTTTTTGTGTTGGGATTCCCATTGTTTGGGCTTCCTGTGTTACATCTCTGGTAAGCGACCAACTCCCGTAAGCGACCACTTTCTCCTGGCCCCAGGGTGGTCGCTTACCGGAGAGTCGACTGTATTTGGGATAAACATTCAATTTTACATTAACAGTGGTAATTTWAAAAAAAAATCCCAACAGTAGCCAATTTTTAAATTTGATTAATTGTAGTGAGAATTGAAATAATAGAAAAATGGAATCCCGTTTTTCTATTAAGCCCTTCAGAACCTCTTGCTTSAAATCCACCAATGAAGCCAAGTGTCTTTACGTAAAACAGAATTTGAGTGTTAGGAGAGTATAACACAAATCTTTGGTAACACACACATACTCGCACGGTTAGCAGGTCCCGTATCTTCACTATTTTTAGCATCTAATTATATTTTAGTACTTCTAATTTGGTCAAAAATAGGGTTTTTATGCACCAGGAATAGTATTCAAGGTTACTGGAAATAGAAAACTAAATCCCAAAATAAATTATTATTTTCTTTTTGTGATAAAAGTAATTAAATGCCAAGTCAACAAATTGAGAGGAGTAGAAATACTAGTGCCTGAATAGATCAAGAGAAGAAATTGTTCTTTTACCATCTGCGGGAATGTGCGTGTCAAATGACTATGTCAAATCCTATGTCATTCTAGGGAGGAAGTGGAAGAGGAGGAGGAAGAGCAGCAAGGAGAAGACCCATCTGAGTGGAGCCTTGGGGCCGCAATTCAAGAATGTGCTCGACTCGCTGACGAGAAAGAAGAACCACATAAAGTCCAACAACCAAGCGCATCTAAAAAAAGAATAGTGCAAAGTTCTTACTTTAGTGATGACGAAGAATATGGGGATTAAACGTCACTACAAGATAAGTCAGCAATATGACGTCATATTCGCGCCTTCACCAAGAACGCTTTATCAACTGACCTGTACGAATTTTCAAAATTATTTTAAACAAATATTTTCTGAAATAACATTTGTTYGTTAAGTTGTTTGAGGTAACATATAGATATTTCGTTCGAATACTTTTTGTAAAATTCTCGAAATGTTTAAAATATATGTTCTGAGAAAATGAAAAGAAAGTGCAGTGAGGSCGAGCCGTATATTAAAAATTAATTACCTATTCGAGGCCTTTTTTCATCGGTGTCTTAATATTAAAACGAAAAAGAGGAAAAAAAGAAAAGGGATAGAAATATAAGTTTACATATGTTCAATTAGAGGTGGAGATTTTTCATTACTTTTCGAACGACAAGAGAAAGACTACGTGATGAAGAGTCAAACCTATAGGRCGGATGTTACCTAATGAAGATGTTTTCAAAGCAATAGAGCTTCGAGCTAGAATGAACAATCCATACTCATTTAATGAAAAAAATTGCGGTATCTATTGACAAAATTAATTACATTGCTTAGGCATAATATCTGTGCGTTCTGTTTTCTCAATCTTCGAGGTGTCTGGTTTATCAGCACCGCTTCTAATAATCTATTTGTCTRACAATTTTAGCCGACAATTTCAGATCATTTCGACATATGTCAAAGCTAAAACACCGTAAAATTTCAAGGAAATTCGACGTTGGTAGATTAAAGAAAAATAGTTCCCTGGCAGGTTCATTAATATTAGACTAAGCCATTACGTTTTCGTTGACTCCAAATCGCTCCATGGCGATAGTTAATTCTGTTTCATTTATTTCCATTTGTTATGAATACAAGAGAATTAAATTATTCCTAAGCTGGTATCCGGGAATACGCTGATTTCTAACAACTCTATTCTACTCGCTTGGATTAAAGAAGGTTTGACCGGACGTATTTCTGTCACTACTGAGCTTATGATCAATACCTTTCGCAGAGACAACATAACAACTGTAAATTGGAGACGTGCAAGCGATCCATTCATCGAAAGTCTTTGAATAGATAGCATCATCCTTGCTCCTGTTAGGTGTAATGACAAGATTACACTMATGGTGATCTGTTTGGAAAGGCCGAGTCTGCCAAACGCACACAAATAGAAGAGAATCAAAGTGAATTCAAATGCAGCTGTCGATCATATTTTTGAGTGTGGTTACGCTTGTCAATGTGTTTGTAAGCAAAGGACAAGTTCGAGTTGAAGGGAATGTTAATATTGGAGMGCTCACTTCTCTTCATGGTCGAAAAGGTGTAGCTGAATGTGGAAAGTTTGACACTCCAGCCCTTGGAGTCGCTGAGTCGATCATATTTGCCATACAACAGATCAATCAAGACCAGAAACTTCTACCAGGTGTAACTCTTGGCTATGATGTACTAGATTGTTGTCAAAGTCCTGTTTTGGGAGCCAGAAACGTGTACGAATTCGCGATAAGGAATCGAAAGGCCAGCATGGTAGAGAGCCTTAATGCTAGTAACGCCTTGAAACCTGTTGTTGCTGTAGTGGGTGGCTTGGTGTCGGAGACCGCACTTGCTGTATCCATGTTACTTCAAGCCGTTGGGATCCCAATAATCGGGTCCTTGGCAACAAGTGAACAACTCAGCTCCAAGTTCCATCATCGATTTCTACGAACAATCCCAGCGGATGGGAATCAAGCAAAAGCCATTGCTGATATCATTGACTTTTTTGGGTGGAATTTCGTGGCGGCTATCGGTGAAGACGATTCGTATGGAAGAAACGGTATTCTAGCACTTGAAAGAGAAGCAAGAAGAAGAAATACTTTTTGTCTTGGAATGACCGAATTCGTGCAACAGTCGCAGATCGATCGGATCCCGTCGATSGTTTATCGATTGAAGCAGCGTCGGACAGTTAAAGTAGTGGTTTYATGGGTGTTGCATTCAACTGRGAAAGCTTTGCTTGATGAGGCCATCAGTCAGGGTGTGGTCAGTCGCACGTGGATTATGAGTGAGTCTCTCGCGATGCAGCAACCAGAATACCTCGGAGAAAAGCTGATAAACCAAGGGAACTATATCGGTGTTCTACCGCGTCGACACGTCTACAAGCCKTTCAAGACTCACATCAAGAAGATAACACCTTCAAATTCCCGCGGGAACCCYTGGTGGGAAGAACTGTGGAAGACAGAGTTTGGCTGCTCACCGGGTGAATGTAAAGATGATCTTTGTGTCACGGATGCTTTACTTCTTAAACTCACCAATGATTACGTTCCCTTTGTCATTGATGCGGTGTACGCCATTGCACATGCGCTTGACGCCATGCTAAGATGCCAAGAGCCTTATGGGTTGTTGAGAGGAGGCAAGTGTCCCCAAGGAACCATCTCCCGGGTTGACTCAAATGACTTGTTGATATACCTCCGGAATGTGAGCTTTCAAGGCTTGACTGGCAGGGTTGAGTTTGACWTCAGAGGGGATCCATCTGATGCTCTTTACGATATTGTTTACCTCAACACTAACAAGACAAATAGAAACTTCACTCAGCTACCAATGAAAGCCACGATAAGGATCTTGGGAAAAGAGAGCGATRACATCTCTTACTTTAAAGGCCGACCTTATTCGCTGGCGAAAAAGTGACAATCTGCAAGGTCCCGGTCCCTCCGAGTGCCGAGAGGAGTGCAAACCAGGTGAACGTAAAACCAAGACCGCTGATTGTTGTTGGGAATGTATCGAGTGTTCAGATGGCTGGATAACGTCCAAATCAGGAGAAACGAACTGCTCCAAGTGTCCCAGAACACAATACTCAAACAACGAACGAAATGCTTGTGTGGATTTACCTTTGTTGAACATCAAATGGGGCGACGCGAGCTCCATGTTGTTAATTGTCATGAGCCTATGTGGAATACTACTGTCCGGGGCTGTTTTAATCATCCTTATCAAGTACAAAAACACCCCTGTTGTCAAGGCTAGCAATCCAGAGATCAGCTTCATTCTGCTGCTTGGAACAGCCACCTGTTTCATGCTGACATTCCTGTACATAGCCACGCCTACAGACAAGATCTGCGCCTTGCTACAGCCACTACGCTACATCTCCTTTACCAGCTGCTGTTCTATTCTTGTTCTCAAGACCATACGTATCGTACAGGCGTTTCAAATGGAGCCAGTCAAGGCTCTTATCAAAGCATGCATCAAGAGCGCAACCCGCCAACTCATGTCGTTAGGTGCTTTGGTTCTGGTAGACGCTTTGCTGGCCGTATGTTGGATATCCATTGATCCACCCCACTTAGACACGTCAGTCACTAATGATGGCTTCATCTTTCTGTCATGCAAGAATTTCAACAGCAATACTGGTCWAGCCTTAATGATGTGCATGCTCATTTACCTCATAGTACAAGCGTTGGTCTGCACTTACTACGCGTTCAGGGCTAGAAAACTACCCGGAAACTTTAACGAAGCAAAATACATCGCTTTCTCAATGTACATAATCCTTCTGTCGTGGATTGCCTACTTCCCAGTGGGTTATGCACTCCAAGGTTGGTATGTCGCAGTGGTTTCTTGTGCCACATCACTAGTCAGCGGTTACGGCGTATTAGGATGCATATTTGTGCCGAAGATATACCTGATATTCCTGCACCCAGAAWAGAACACCACATCAGCCGTCAGGGCAGAGCTTCAAGTCTTTACTCGGGTAGGCACGTTTACAAAATCTATGATATCAGAGCATGATTCGTCTAGTTAGATCCCTTGCTCAATTACATATGTTTGGGCTCGCTGTGGTACACCGAGGTAAAGTCCGTATTTATCTATCTATCTCTCTCTCTCTCTCTCTCTATATATATATATATATACCTATTCTTTTTATTAACGGGTTTATTTTTTCCTCTTCTGGTCAAATCTAGAAACTTGGCAGGAGTAAGACATAAGTTGTCGTGCCTTACATGAGTTTTGCCTGCCGCGCAAGAAATCGAAACGAATAACAAATCACTGGATCGGATGAAAAAMGTATTTTAGCAGGATGCCATGCTTGAAATACTCTCATCTCGCCTCAAGCTGGCTCTTTAAAAAAATTAAGATACAAAAATTTCGTATGGTCAAAATTTGCAGCTCTCTGCTGAATATAACGTAAGTTGACTAAAGGATAAGTAGGAGTGTGACGACATATGACAGGAAAACCTGGAAAAATAATTTGATTTGAGATGACCGAACATATCCCGCATTTCTTAGATTCTCTGTAACGAATTGATTTCATCTTGTATGAATTAAGACATCCTTTGGGCCCCATCATCCCTTARAATTAACTAGTATGGCCTTGGATGACCTCCAAATGCAAATGTAAAAAKATTTGATGTTGATACAAGGAGACTTTGTTTAGTTTGGAAATTGGAAATGGAGATTTTGTTCCAGTGCAGAGAGCTAACCCCTTGGGTAAGAAATGAATAAATAAGAAAAGAAGTTTTATAGAGACTAGATATTATAGTAGATGCAAATTAGTTTATTTCAAGTGCTTTTTGTTTTTTGTTTTTTTAATTGTGGGGGCGAGGGGGTAAAACCATATAACCATACAACCAGGCTATAAGTAACCCATTACTTCCTACGCATGCC